TCAGCACTCAGGGCTTAGCAACTTCCGGGAAATCATATAATTTTAAATCCCCAACTATCCAAGCGTTTTTATATACTTTAAATAGTCAATTATTTTAAATAGTCAAATTAAAATTATATTAGACATTTTTATCCATGAGGCATGATTTTTAACTACCCACTTTTCTATTTACAAGGACACATTCGCCTTTTACAAGGACACAAAGTGTGTCAAAAACACGCATATTATAATGCCTGTGACACTGCGTGACTTTTCAATCATTTTTGTCACAAAAACATAGATTTTGCATCAAAAATATATCGCCAAATTTTGCACATATAAGAGCAACAAAAAGGAAATAAATCTTTAAAAATTAAGAGGAAATAGAAAAAAACTAATTTGGAAAAAACAATTTGGAAAAAACTAAATTTTACCTGAGTTTGCATCTCCTTTCCCATATCCCCCAACGAAAGCACCCGAAAAGATTAATGAAAACATCACAAAAGCGCCTCAAATTAATGGCAAAACTCCCTCAGCTGAAAACTATGTTACAGCAATGAAACAAAGCTTAAAGGTATCGAAAAATATGTAAAACAAAGGCGAAAACAGGGATATAACTCGGCGAATAGCTTTGTACTGCAAAATTGGAATATTGCTTTTTGCACAATAAGCCTCATTTCCATGTTGTGCGAAGGTGCGGTTACTAAGTTTTGCAATTGGTCTATAGTTTTAATGTTTTGTTTAAAAGAATATGCTTATCGGCTTTCATTAGGCAAAGTTTTTCCTCAATGCAGAGATTACAACGCCTTCCATGCACCAACCACTTCAACTCGAATTTCGTGCCATCTTTTTTCAATCCCCAGATGTACTTTGAAAGTTCTGTTTCTTTTTCGTATTTCTCATTGTTAATCGGTTTCTTGTGGCTACGTATCTTTCCTTGAACGTATTTGCCTCATACCTATGTAATCCTTAACTTTCCCATCGCCACTATTACCTCATACACAATGTTTTTATTTAAGCAGTTTTTATTCGAAGGGCATTCTTCTGGATTCCTGCAGTTCAGGGCCGAAACTAGAACGATAATTGGGGGGGTGTTTATTCATATATTCAGTTCTGCCCGACGGATTTCCATTGTGAGCTTTTGCACTTACAAAAGAAATCCACAGGGCAGAACTGAATATATGAATAAACACCCCCCCAATTATCGTTCTAGTTTCGGCCCTGCTGCAGTTGCAATTATCTTGAGTTGGAGCGGTTACAGGTTTTCATAAAACTTGCTTGTTGTGACGAGATATTATGTTTTTAATGTTGGGCATGAAGCTGTAGCTAACTTTGACTGTATTTTGGTTGAATAATTTATGCAAAGTACTTGTAGAGGGGAAGTGTTTATCGATAAGCAGGAATGTCCAAGCAATGTTTGTCTTCAGTTGATCTATCTTCTCTAGAAGATGTGGTTGAAAAGGTCATCAATTATTGCAAAGGAAATGATCCTGTTGAGATATTAAGGTGCCTTCAGAAAGAAGTTATTATTGGTCGTCAGCTAGAAATAAGATTTCTGAAAATATTGAAGGGAAAACCAGTTACTTATTGGTTGATCATGAGAATTTACTACCTACTACATTTGAAGAATTAGATTCTATTGACAATTATAGACTTACACTTCAAGTGCAGTGTTATGGAGAGGTAAAATTTTTCAATGTCAAAGTTTACTATTGGTTTAAATTACAGTTATCCTATGATGGATAACTAAATTAAATAGCAGATCTTCACCTCTTTGAAACTTATTTAACTCATTAAACTTCATTGACAAATAAAATTGTCTTTTTTTAAACCAAGTAGGGCACACTAAGTCAGAATGTTCTTTCTTTTAGGAAGCTGATGACTATGGGGGCCCACATAAGGAATTCTTTAATATCGCTTTGAGAGAAATATATGATGAGTATTTCAACAAAGGAATGAAAGACCACATCTCTGAAGACTACTTCAAAGTTGGTATCATTTTTGGTTAGTATGGTATATTCACTTTAATATCTAAATTTTGATGTGTATTTCAGGGAAGGATTATTATGGGGAGTTCAAGGGGTGCATGCTCTCCCTGGCCTAGCCCAGGGGGTGCAAATTTGGTTATCAATTTAGATCTATTAGTATTTTTGTGTAATTGGAAGTTCAAAGTCTTTTTTGAGGCTCTGGCTACATAAATAGCACTTTATCTTCTCATATATGTTATAATTTATCAAACAAGATACCCTCTAATAATCCTTTGCAACACCCCTTCCCATACACAATCACACTGAATTAATCCCTTTTATATTTCCTGGGTATTTCTAGATAATATTGTGTACTTAAATAAAGGTTTAAGCACACTTCAAAATGGAAAAATTCCAAGATTTTCAAGTGAAGAAATAATTGAGAACATTTCTCAAAGTTCAAATTCAATTTCTCCCGCCACCCAGTGTTTGCAAAAAGGACTTAAAGCAACTGGATTGCTACAAGTAGGTGAATTCTTTTATATTGTTATTTGGGTGTTTTTGCCAACAACATCATAGTGGTTAGAATTAGCATCACACAACTACTTGCTGTTTGAAAATTGTGTCTTATTGTATTTTTTTAGGTATATAGATCTCTACCTTCCTTCCTTTACCTCTTTACGCCCAGGAGCTACCTTTACGCCCAGAAGCTCTCCTTTATGCCCAGGAGCTACCAACATGTTAACACTGAGAAAGTTGATCAACTTATTGAAGCCAAAGTTCAGTGAAGTAGTATCAAATAAAAGGAAATTTAAAAACGAAGTTTATACTGTCTTCAATAATTACCTAAAAGAAGCTGCAAGTGAGTTTTTTGTAGAGTATTTAATTTGTTTTCCAGTATTCAAATATTCTTATAATCTTAAACTTTCTAGGTGGCAGAAGAGGAAATGTTACATTGGGTCATATCCTCCAGTTTGCCACAGGAACAGATGAGGAACCGGTGCTTGGTTTTGCATTGCGACCTTCACTTTCCTTTTTTCCTGCAGAGGTATCAATTCTCCCACAATCAAATACCTGCACAAACACACTCAGGTTACCATGTGGTTCATTGGAAAGACCACTACTAACAAGGGAGCAACGTTTCTTGTTGTATGATTATGCCTTTTGTAACACATATTTTGGCAAAGTATGACCGGTTTATATTGCCAATACTTTTAAGACTGCAATATCTGTTTATCAAACTTTATGTAAGATGCATAACAATTTTCTAATTAACATTTGTTTAATTTTGGCGTTGTTTTCATAATGTAGTATGTCATTTTTTGGAATCAGCAGTTAAAGGGGGCAGTGTCAGGATGTGCTTCCAAATTAAATGTGCAAACATAAAAGGTTGTTTGCAATCCTTCAATATTATGGACTGTTAGATAATTAAGTATTGTTTAAGGTGGCCCCCTAGGGTTTTTTCCCCGAGGGTAACGTTACTCGTATACGTCGTGGGAAATTTAAAAACTCGCGGGATTTAAAACCCAAAATGTAAACATGGCGTTTCTTGCGAGAAAAACCCTATCCCGAAGCAAGTACGTTGATATTTTCATTACAAAAAGTATTAAAAAGCTTTTACAAACGACACCGATTTTTGTGGGTAACCTGATAGGAAAACAAAGCAACAATTTGTTGGGAAACAGTGGTTTACTTGGTGTTTACAGCCGCCGTAAGGAGTCACAGTCACATCGCGAAAAATGGCGATTCAAATTCTCGCACATATTTTCACTGTTTTCGGCTCTATATATTTGTAACCTTGAGCGAGCTGAATGCATGGAAAAAGACGAAAGTTCATCTTCAACATCTGTAGCTAGCTTAGCCGAGACGCCAAAAACAAAACATCACAATAAACGGAATGATATCGGGCGCTTTGCAAAGGTATGCAACGTTGGGCACAAAAAGAAAAATCTAGAACCGATGAAAGCAGCTTTAGTGGCAAGACGAAGCCTTATTTTTGACATGTGTGATGAAAATGAGCCCCCTTCTAAACGAAAAACAAGGAGCGAGAAGGTACGTGCTATATAAGATGATTCATTTGTTATAATATTTCCTGATCACAGTAAAAGTCTACAAGACAAGGAACCTGATAAACACATATTTTCAGGATGATACATACAGAGAAGTTGTTGTGCATGGAAACCGAATCATAGACGTTGAACACCTTCAAGAAAAAATGAAAAGATGCAACAATTGCCATTCAGGTGAAATTTTATACCAACTAAGACTAAATAGGGACTAATGATGCTTATGATAGATGTATATACTATACTATACATCTGACTAAATGTGAAAAATAAGAGGCCATATATTTTTACATAAATATCTATTTTAATTTTATTTGTTTAAAAATATTTAACTATTAGCACCAAATTTCAGTATAGCTGAAGCATATACCTATACTTATATGATTTAGGTCCTTTGCCATTTACTCTATGTGATGAACAGAGACATGTCCTAGCAAGTACATTCAATATAAAATGCCCATTCTGTCATCATATGAACAAGGCTGAAACTTCAAGGCAACATACAACTGGCAAGAGAGGCCCAAAGGCATTTGATATCAACACTAGGGTTGCTCTTGGCTCTCTTCATGCTGGCATTGGTGAAACCCATATGAACAATATTTTGTCTTGCATTAACATACCTGCAATAAATTCAAATACTTTTAAACAAAGAGAAAGAGAAGTGGGGAAAGCTGTTGAGGAGATAGCAAGGCAAAGTTGCAAGGAGGCCACAAATTCGATAAGAAATGGAATTATGACTACCACTGCTGAACTTAATGAGAATGATTTGGTTTCTGTCCCATGTTCATTTGACATGGGTTGGCAAAAAAGAGGAAAGGGCCATAATTCCTTGACTGGACAAGCAGCAGTAATGAGTTTGGCAACAGGGGAAGTCTTAGACTACACAACACGAGTAAAGTTCTGCCGTTTTTGCGAGTATGCTAACAGAAACAAGATCCCAGTGAAAGCACATGACTGTCGCAAAAATCATGTTGACTCCTCTAAGGCAATGGAGCCCTCTGCCGCAGTAGAATTGTTCAATAATGCACCTAAACAACAAGTTCAGTACTCTACCTACACTGGAGATGATGATTCCACAACAGAGGCACATATTCGCCAAAAAGTAGAATACAAAGTGGAAAAACTTAGCGACATTGTACATATGAAAAGGTCCCTAACTACACGCCTATATAATTTGAAGCAAAATGCCAAATTTCCAGAAAGTTCTACACTATCAACAAAGGTCATCAACTATCTAGTGAGATGTTTTTCATATGCCATTACACAAAACAAAGGAAATCCAAATGAAATAAAAAAAGCAGTTGAAAGTATTGTTCCCCATGCTTTTGGAAACCATGCAGACTGTGATATCAGTTGGTGTGGATACAAAGGTGACCTGACCAATTACAAACATAAGACTCTTCCATATGGTAAGGATCTCTTTGGTGAAAACTTAATGAATGCACTAAATAATATATTCAATGACTATTGCACTGAGACTGTGGTAAACAAAATAGCACCATGCTCTAATTCACAGAGAAATGAGGCCCTAAACAGTGTTGTTGGATCAAAAAATCCAAAAATTAGATTTTACGGTGGAAGCGAGAGCAATGACTTTAGAGTGGCCTGTGCTGTTGCCCAGAGAAACCTCAGGTATTCCTATGTTGACAAATCATTAGAAGCACTCAACATTGAACCTGGCTTATTTTGCATGAATTACAATGCAAGGATGAATGCCAAAATCTTACAACAAAATGCCAGAAAATCAACAATAAAGTTTAAAAGACAACGAGCACAAAAGCACTTGAGCTGCAATGCTGAAACTGCACGAAAAGAAGCAAAGGAGGGTACAACTTTTCAAACTGGTGTTGGATTAAATTTAGACAAAAACAACCCAAACTCGACTGGCCCAAATTTGGCAAATATCATACCAGAGATAGAAATTCCAGATGTTAAAGCAATCTCAGTGAAGGACTTCCAAACAATAGAAAACACTGTACCTCCATTTACTCCTCGACCAGAAGCAAAACAAGTCAAGTTTGATGAAGCAAATTATTATAATTTTTTGGTGTTTGATACAGAGACAAATACCACTGGCAAATCAGCAGAAATATGCCAGTTATCAGTTTGTGACATGGTTGGTTCATACATATTTTCAGAATACATACTCCCAACACACAACATTGACTTTTTTGCTTCACGAGTAAATAATCTGGATATACAATTAATCAATGGCAAACGAGAATTGTTCAAAAATGGCAAGTTAGTACCTTCAATACCTTTCAATGAAGCCATAACAAAACTCCAGAGTTATATCTCACAGTCAATTGACCAGGCAAGAGCCACTACAAGCAAGCCAATTGTCACTGTTCTTATCGGACACAACATTGCTACCTTCGATACACCAATACTTTTGCGAAATGCTGGTGGAAACTTTGCATATAACTTAGATTTGATGAACGTTTGGTTTGCAGATTCCTTGTCTTTGTTCAAAGAGCTAATTAAATGTCAATTTCAACAATTGAAGAATGCAAATGGTACGTTTCCCAAAGCTAATCAATCGTCCATTTACGAAGCTGTGTTTCAAGAGTCATTCAATGCACACGACTCCTTAGAAGACGTCCTTGCTCTCAGAAAAATTTTGTTTTCATCCAAACTTGAACTGTCAACACCGACGATAGTCAACTATTCCCAGATGATAACCACACAACATGCTGTTGAGGACATGAAATACCTGGATCATCGCCACGAAAATATCCAAACTTTTAACGCCATCCAGTTCAATTCGCGAACAAATATAAATGGCATCTTAAAGAAGAATATGGTGGAAAAAATCGCTGGATCTGGCTTGTCGTATAAGGATCTTAGCGACGTTCACAATAAGTACGGACCATGTGGACTCACTGCAATTCTGTCGAAGTCACCTTCAAATTCATCTCTATCATCGCCTAGAGTCACTCGTAATAGACGAATTTTAGCGGCAATTGTTAATCACTTCGAAAAAAACAACAAATCATAGGTATCGTAAACCTCGTCGTAAACTATAATATAATAGAAGTTTTTATTTCTTCCATGTAACGACTCGCGAGCGACGAATCGCAATCGCGTATTGCGCGTGACCTCTCGCGCGATACTACGAATTTCGGTAATTATTTTTTTCAGAATTTTCCAAATATACCTTTGAATTCCTCTTATTTCCCTCGGTGAATCATCTTGAAAATTCGTGCAATAAATGAGATTGCCTTCATTGATCAAAATACCAAATTTTAAAAAAATCAATCGAAGGAATATTTTTCAATAACAATTTTGAACCTTTATGTTCATTACAGAAAAATGTATCGATTTTTTTTTTAAAAAATTTGGCAAAAGAACGATTAAGAAATTTCTCTTCGATTGTCGAATTTAAAAAATGATTCACCGAGGAAAATCCGCAAAATAGCAAAAAGATTGGAAAAAACGTGTTCCATTGCATACGCGCTGTTACCATGGTAACAGAGTTTAAGTGTAAATTTATGGCTGCAAAAACTTGAGATAAATATAAAGTGGGTTTTGTGAAAATTTCTTTCCCGTACCGCGTAAGGCAATGATTTGGGAATCATATTTATGCATCAGTATTGTTTTAGGCAAAAACCCTAGGGAGCCACCTTAATTGGAAATATGTGAGTAATTTTCTATAAACATATCCAAAATACATCAGTATTAATGGAATGCTACTGCCCCCTTTAAATGCAGTTATTATTAATGGCAGGAGAACTGTGATTTGATCCATATTCAGATTGTTTTTAAGTTATCTTGGTGCAGGATTTTTGAGATATTTGTAATGTTTATTAAAATTAAAGTTGAAGTCAAGTCTGTATGTAACAAACAGTTTGTTTACATTTGAGTACTTTTTGAAACAATTTGCTGTCTGAGTATTTCACAACATTTAGGTTGTTTAGGTTATGTCTTTTAAATCTAGTGTTTTTGATGAGAAAAATTCTAAACATACGAAATTTAGGTAAAATTCTTTTATGGGGACCTAGCCCTATTGTTCTGTTTGGAAACGATCCACACAACAGACTTGATTTCCACTTTAATAACCAGGTTAGCTGTTTTATTCTATATAGAAACCCTTTACAGTCGTGCCAATAGAAGCGTTCCGAAAAATGTTGATCAGTTCATTTCCTAACTTGAAGGAACACATTTGAGCAGTTCCTCAAAATGTTCTTCAGGAACTTTTAAACTTCCTTAGGAATATTAACCAATCAGATTTGATCTTAAATTACTGTTGACTAATCACATTAAACCAAGCGCGCACATGACTCGAACGGAAGTTGACAATATTCAACGGGAGTTGTGCCGGGTAGTGTTGGTAATGTTTCTATTTCAAAACGGTTGTGTTTATATTAATGCTATTTGCAATCAAACGCGCCGCTCGCCGAATTTTTATCGTTGTTTGCTAGCAGCCAACATCGACGCTCATCCCTACTCAACATTACGTTCTGCCCTAATCAACTTTATGTTCTGATTGAATATGCAGCGATGATTTGAGCGACAGTTTTAAAAATATTTCAACCGTCAACTCATTAGAACTGGCTAATCAAAACATACGCATTTTATTTATATTGTTGGCTAATTTTATTTAGTGAACACTCTACTGGCGAAAGTGTGCAGTGAATCTTATATAAATGTAAGAAACTAAGAATATACAGCATCTTACATTTATAATCACTCGTGAATCGTTGCGTTCACAATAGCCCAACGTAACGTTGAGTGTGGGTGAACGTAACGTTTAGTAGAGGGTAAAGTAGCGTTGATTTTATTTACTTGTAACAGTAACAGGCTAACAGCAAATATAAATTAAATTTAGCGTATGACATTGTAATTATTATGCTTTAATTAACGTGGCTTTGATTGACGTTTGATTATCTGGAACGGGCGTTGTATTACTTTGTATACAAGTTGTATACAGGCGGGAAGAGTTGTATTGGAGGCTTAAAATTTTCATATATACGTCTAAATCAATTCAGCATGTCAGTGGAAGACTGGTTATGTGAACTAGATGCACAATTTGTTGTGTATGCACCACATCTTAAAGAATTGGGTTTCAATTCAAAGAAAATGATGAAATTTTTGAAGTTGAAAGATTTCATGAAAATTCCATGTAAAACCCCTGCTCCTCACAGACGAATGATAATGAATGCTGTGATAAAAATGCAAACACCGGAGTCAAAAGCAAGAGGAAAAGATATCGATACCCCTGATTCTGAAGATACAGTTATTGCAAAGAGAAAGAAAATCGCATGTAATTCTAGCACACGTAGTACTTCTAGCGCCAATACGTCCGCCACGAAATCAAATCTAGAACCACGAAAATTATTCGATGGCGAAACAACCAATGATGATGGCGAAGGGAATCTTGAGATGCTAGGTAAGCAAAAGGGAACTAATCTTTTACTGCGTTTTGGAATGGTTTCGTGAGATTAATTTGCGTTGTTAGTGAACGGCAAACTGGTCACATTCTATTTATAAATATTGCCTGTAAACTGATAAATACGGTTTACATAAATTGCCTTTATCCAATTTACAGTTTTCAATTCTTTACAACTACTAAAATATTTGTACTTAAGATACTGTTGAACAAATGATGTTGAAAGAAAAGGAACAACTTAATACAGATTTATTCAAACAAAAGAAGCAGTTGGCTGACTTTACCAGTTCACTAGTCGAGTTGATGCCCCTTTCGCTACCTGGGTGCCGGATGATGGCAAGTACTTGCACTCGTTGTCACCATAAAGGACATAGAAAAGAGGGAAACAAAAATGGAACTTATTGTGAATTTGAAGAATGTGTTGGTTTTCACTATTGCGGGCAGGAGAAACTTCATCCAGAGTTTAAAGTTGAAAAACGTGAGGTATAATTTACTGGATATGTTATGACACTAGATATCGAAGTCAAACTTTTATATACCGAATTCAGTTGCATAAATATTTATAATATGAATCGAGTATTTTAACCTTTTTATACTTTACATAATGTAGAGAGAAAAAGGTATCAGAAGTATTGAAGCAAAAATTCGACAAAAAGAGGAGGACCTATTACAGCTACGAGAATTTGCCAAGAAGTCTTCGACAAACTTTATACGAAATGTGCGACCTAGACTTCAACGACATTTTCCTAATATTTACAAGGGAAAAGATGGAAACCAAAGACTATTAAGAGATACTAGACTTTTAAAGATAGCTTGTAATGGAAAGATACCAGAACAAACACCAAATGAAAAAGATCATTTACAAGAATTGATTCGTAAAGGCAAATCTAAAGTTGCTGTAGAAACAGGAATGCCAGAGGACACTGAAAATTTCCTTCTGCATGAAGAGATGGAGCAATCGAGGCTTGACAGAGGTGAGGATTCTGAAAACGACGAAACAAATACTACAATTCACAAGAAATCCAAACACTAACGCAGTGCAAACAAACATGCCCATGATTCCATCAAATAGTCATATGTTAATACCAAATATGCCAGTGATTCCCCCACAATCTGGCAATTTTTATTTTGGTATGGATAATCAGTCTCATTTTATGCAACCATATCCTTATTCATACCAGCCTCGTCAATATGTAAATTGTACTTATCCACAACATCCTCCGGTGCCTCAACCAGAGATTCGATCGGAAAATCTCGCCACAATCAACGCTCCATCAACAGTTGCTAATCAAAACAATCAAAACATAAACCTAATGGATCTCGCAAACGTGGCAGATATGATTGATAATGATTGATAATAAACAATGACTTTGTTATACAATGCATGAATATAAATTTGAGTTATGACCTCAATAACATAAAGTTGAGTTAATGTTAAGAACTTAAGATTGGTTTATATACTATAATATTTGGAACATTGGTTTATATACTATAATATTTAATATTTACTTCAAACAGTGTACCCGCATTTTCTAAAGAATGCTGAACAAAGAGCTGGGGTGATCAATTCCATAGCATGTACCATAGCTAGTTCAGTAAACTTTGATGTAAAGCTTTCGTTGTTTTGTAATAGGTGTTTCATATGATTAAAGATATATTTGCACGGGTTAAGTTCAGGACTATAGGGCGGTTGGTAAACTAGGGTAACTCCGTGTTGGAGAAGCATTTCCCGTAAGTAAGGTTGAACATGTCTAGCGTGATGAAAACCGCAATTGTCCATAACTAGGACATCTCCTGCATCAATCTTTAGATTGCCATTTTCATATGTCTGTTCGAGAGCCTCTGCAATGAACTGCAAAAGCTCTACACCATTAGAAGCACCTTCAATAATATCATAATGATCCACGCCAAAGTATCCGCATATCAAATTAATTGTGAATTTTTTGTTTGAGCTGTAACAACAAATTTCAACTGTTGGATCGCCTGAAAGTGAATGACCGTATGTGCGATTTCCTGTTGTTCTGTCTACACTTGACTCATCCATAAAATGGATATTTCGTGCCGGAAAATCTGATATTTCGTTCAAATAATCAATTTGTTTTGCTTGCGCAGCATCTGTCAGTGATTCCTCAGGTACTGTTGTCAAACGCTTCCTCGTGAAACCTAGTTCGTGGCGTAAAACATGAGATATTGTCTGTCGAGAAGGAACTGTATCAATATCACATACCCCAAGATCTAAAAGTCTATCTCGAATTTCTCTTCCATACGTGCTGGCCTTTTGCGTTTTTATAAATTCAATATGTTGCAACACGTTATCTGTTGTTTTATAATGAGCGCAACCAACATGCAATTTAGGATATATTCTTCCGCTTTCTGCAAATGTTGTTACTATTTTTCTGACACCACGTTCGGTTATTTGCAAATCTTTGCTGATTCTAGAAACCGAAATACCTTGTGCGTACTTGTTAATAATTCGCTGTTTTACAATATGTGGTGTGGATTTTCCATTTTGAAAAGTACCCGCCAGCCGATTTTGTTTGAACATCTCTAATTTAAAGTTCCCGCGTCTTTTCATTATTTCCCGTTGAATATTGTCAACTTCCGTTCGAGTCATGTGGGCACTTGGTTTAATGTGATTGGTCAACAGTAATTTAAGATCAAATCTGATTGGTTAATATTCCTAAGGAAGTTTAAAAGTTCCTGAAGAACATTTTGAGGAACTGCTCAAATGTGTTCCTTCAAGTTAGGAAATGAACTGATCAACATTTTTCGGAACGCTTCTATTGGCACGACTGTAAGTTAATGTTAGGATTAAACCCCAGTTAATCCACCAATTGGAATTTCTTTTTGTCCATTAAGTGCTAGGTTTTCAAAACAAAAGGAAATTATCTGTGAGTAGAAACACTAATACAGTACAAAATCTTTGCAGAATCTCAGCAGCCTTTAGGAAATGCTCAACACCATAGTTATCGGATGTCCAATTTGAATGAGCTTGCAATTTCCGTCAACATGCCACAAATATAAAGGACACGGAACACTATACTCTCTCAGATGCAAAGCTCTTTGGCGCCTGGCTTGCAATCCTTCTTGATTGACTTCCCGGATGACTTCCCAAATGAACATTTAAAGGGAATACACACCTCGTTTGCGACATTAGGGCTAGAAGTATTCGTGGTACTAGAGGTGGTTGTTGTCGAGTTTGACGACAATTGTGTTGACTGGGTCTCTGATTGACCATCTCTAAGATGTATCACTGATCTAACTGCCCCCTGAACGACTCTGGTTATTGCCTCTACCCAACTAGTTTCATCACTTTCCATGAATAATGTATTTAATTTAGAGACAATTGCACTTGAGAGCGCCCAAAGAAGGGTTTATTTGGCGCCTTCGTCTTCGAAAGCTCACAGTTTAACCGGAAGTTGTCACACCAGAAGTTGCCGGACAGGAAATTGATTGTTGCTTTTGTCAAATAATGATTTTTCACAGCATTGTCATTACATGATAATATAATTAACATTTTTTCTTCATTATATCAAATCATGAATTCACCTAAAATCCATTATTTGATATCAAAGTGAAATGCCTTATCATTATATGAAATAAGGATTTGCACAATTGTTTGTAGTTATAAATTATATTTTTGTGCACAATTTATGGTATCAAATTATGACTTAATGCAGAATTATTATTTCATATAACGACTACTTTCAATAAGCATGATATCAAATACTTAGTTGCTTATATAAATCATTGTTTGATATAAAATACATTTGTCCATTTATTCTTTGTACATCACTTTTTAGTCATTATATGCAATAATTAACACTAAATAATTTTTGGACATATGGCGTTCCATAAGTATCAACCGTCATGCATTGCGTGCTTTCCGTTTATGTTTACACACGGGAAATTTCCGGATCGCTTCACAATTTGCATTATGTTGTGTCTTGCATGCATTCATGCATATTTATGCGACTTTTGTGTTTTAAAGTCCTTTCAAAAACCTTGGAGTATAATATATATTTGATAAAATGTCTGAATCAAAATCTGAATCAGAGTCTGATTCAGATTTGGGTGTGTCATGTTACGACTTAGAAGAAGATCTAAATGCGTACAGATCACCGGTATACAGGGGGAAAGTTAGTGAACCGACTTTGACACACATTGAGCAAAGTAGAATGCAAAGTATATTAAAATACTCTTTTTCCCCTTATTTTGATTTATGGTACAGTGTTTGATTGAGTAAAGGTTTTCTATATTTATGCACTGCAAAAATGAAAAGCTTATTTTGAGAAAAAAATACTTGTTTTAAGAAATTTTTTCTTATTTTAAGCCAAATGACATGCATGTGACAAATTATCTTGTCCCATACGTAGGAAAATTTTTCTTCATGAGATTTTCTTCATTAAGAAAAATTTTAATCTTATTAAAAAAAATAATTTACGATAATTTTTCTTTTGTACCATAGGTAGGAAAAATTTTCTTGCTTAGAAAAATATTCTTGTTTTAACAAAAAAACTCTTACAAAAATGAAGCGAATCTTACCCAAAATCTTAGCAAGATTAGTATAAAACTTACCAAGATTAAAGATTTCTTATTAAGGTTATTCATATAAATAGAATATCTTAATTTTAGTTGTAACATCCAAATAGTCCAACATAAATATTAACTTGAAAAATGCATGTATGTGCACTTATAATTATTTTTATCTGTTTTTTCTAAAACATAACAAAATTATTGGGATTTAACTGGTTAAGAAGTGCAATTGCTGATTAATTGAAATCTGCCATGCTCTAATTAATATTTCTACATAGCTATATAGTAGTTAATAGCTATATAATAGGCGTTTATCTAGAGACATAAGTGTGTTCCTTCCATGCCAAAATATGACATGCATGTGACGTATAATTTAGGTTCTACAGAATACTCACCAACAGAACAGCTTTTGGGTGGTTTAATGGTGCCCTTGGAAATGCCATAGTAAATGATTGTGTCTATATTGCTTTCCATGTTCTTTACACATATTTTTATGTATTCATCTGGGGACTCGGGCTCTGGAAGTTCAAGAGTTCTTCTAACCTCTTCCACAAGCTGAAAATTATTTGAAGATAATTTATTATAACTACTTTTGTTTCACTTATAAACACAGTTTCATCTGCATGATTACCCCACTCAACAAAGGTATGAATAACCTTAACCTCGTTTTTCATACCGTGTCGTGAGTGGTCTTTGTGAACGGACGTGTTTATTTCAGCCTTGTTGGAAATCTCATTTTATCGCCTCTTCGTTTGTGATTATACGATTAATGCATAATGTCATCTCCAGTAAACAATGTACGCCTTGCTTGGAATGGTGACTACAAATTCTTGAAGTATTTCGTAAGTCAAGATCTAAATATTAGGGAGGTTAAGCTTCACGTGAAACGACAAACGAGAAGTTCGCGTTTGCCGTTTCACGTTGGCGTTCATGCGATTAAGCTTCGTGTTTTTACTCGTTTTGGTGACTTGATACTGGGGACTAGTTCTCATTCCACATTATTGGCTTGTGAACTCGGACAGCGATTTGATACTCAAAAATGGCTGCTAAGAGAAGGTAAAGTACACACACTAGACTTGTTTTTTTAATTAATTTTACAATTGTTTCATAAATATTGTATTGAAATAGTGCTGGAATTCATTTTATCATTGTTTTTTAGACGTGACAGGGCAGAAGTTCTGCAGCTAATGGGACTTATCTTCAGATAGTGATGACAGCGATGATGACTTAGAAACTATTTTACTTTCAACATTAATGCCAACAACAGTGAAACGTTGCCGTCTGAACCTCAATGATATTTCTGAAGATGATTGTGAGACTATGTTCAGGTAAATGTAGATATATTTAATATTGTCAAAGATAAATGTGTCATGGTTTGTTAATTAACTTCTTGTCTTCACCTCTTGATAATGATGGACAACTTTGGTTCTGGTTTTATTGCATTCTCTGTATCAGTTTATTGCATTATCAGTTTAATTATTTTTAAATGGCAATGCAGAAAACCTATGTTTTGTTGTTTAATTTTTCAGGTTTCGGAAAGAAGACATGAAACGTTTATCCGAAGCACTATTGCTTCCAGAATACTATAGGTGCCATCAAAGAACAATGAGCATGTCAATGGAAGCACTGATGATTTTGCTGAGGCGGCTGGCATATCCAAACAGGTGGTGCGACCTTTCAGGCATATTTGGCAGGCCAGAACCAGAGATGAGTTTAATATTTAATGAGGTGCAAAATATTACGTTTTTCTTGAGTTAAAATAGTGGCTGCCTGTATGTATGTATGTATAGCCTTGAAATAGCCTTGTCTAGACATGCTTTCAGAATGAGAAACTATTTCTGTGCTATGGTCAGCTTTAATGAAAGCATTCCAAGCTACTCAAGTATTTATTTATTTTATTTATTTGTTCAAGTATTTATGTAAAATATGGCATCAACCTAAAAATATCCTGAAGTGATCTCAAATTGTATTTCCTTATGTTTTATTTAGATTGTGAATGACCTCTATAATCGTTTTTCTTTCTTGTTGACACAACTGAACCTGGCTTGGCTAGATCCACAAATTTTTTGTGATGCTATACATGCAAGAGGTGCACCATTAAGAAACTGTTGGGGGTTCATAGATGGAACTGCAAGACCAATCTGCAGGCTCATTTTTAGCCAAAGGATTATGTTTTCTGGACATTAAAGAACACATTGCATAAAATTTCAGGTAGGTGACAATATGCAATATTTACTGTAACACTAGCAATGACAATTCTTTTACTCTACTTTCATAGCACCAGACCATTTTATTTCTCATCTGAAGGCTACTGGGTGCATATAGTTACTAATTTAGTTATTAATTCAATATTTTGACATTTATAATTTAGTCCGTGGTTACCCCAAATGGTTTAATTTGTAACCTGTTTGGCCCTATTGAAGGCCGGCGGCACGATGCATTCATGTTAACAGCTAGTGGACTACTGGAACAATTACAGCTACATATGAATAATGAAAATGGTGAGCCGTTCGTACTTTATCGAGACCCAGCATATCCAGTCAGGAGCCATTTACTAGCACCATTTAGAGGAGCACAGCTCTCACCAGCACAGCAGCAGTTCAACAGACGCATGAGCTCAGTAAGAACAAGTGTTGAGTGGGGATATGGGAAAATTGTTCAGTACTTTGCTTTCATGGACTTTTCCAAAAACCTAAAAGTTCTACTACAACCAGTTGGAAAGCTTTATTGTGTTGCTGTTCTGTTAACGAATTGCCACACATGTTTATATGGATCACAAACAGGACATTTTTTTGGAGTGGATCCACCACAGTTAGAAGCTTACCTCAGAAATATGTAAAAACAAGAATTTATTTAATGATTTTAAATGAACTGTTACAATAAATATTGTGTGAAATATTTTAAATTATTTACAAATAATAAATTAGCATAGGTGTTTGCCCAATTCTGCGTTGTTTCTTCTTTTTGGAGACTTTGAAAAAAAAGAAATAGCAATTGGTAGCCATGTACTTACAAAACTGCCATATGTTTAATAACAAAAGTAAGGGGGGGTGGGTTGTATAACATGGGTTTAGATCTTAAAAGTTATTGAAGTGATTTATATACAGCTAATTCTGATTATTTATTAACTAACCTTTAAAGATGTCCTCATCTCTTTCTTCATCACTGCTGTTACTATTAAGTTCCTCATCTTTGTTCTCTTTATCTTTAGAAAACAAAAACATGGCTGAAGATAGCCTCTGTGCAATGATATATCATATTTGTTATATATATAATTGTTTGCATCAAGCAATTGTGCATTTCTAATTAGGATGAGGATCACACAAATCAATTAAAGCTGTGTTTACACTACAAGCCTGAGCCTGCATAGGCGGTAGGCCTGGCTTTGATTTTCGTAGTGTAAATGCACTTTGGCCTGGCCTAACCCTTGCCTAGACCAGGAAATCTGGGCCCATCACAACAGGTGGCCTAGATCAGGCCTAGGCTAGTCTTTACAGTAGTGTAAACACTCCTGGGCCAGATTTCTATGGTAAAGTTGACGGCACAAAGTATGTTAGTTTACATCGGTGAACTGTAGAGTTCATTGGTTTTGATATGAAAACTGCTGAAATTCTAGGCCAAATTCAGCCTGTTCAAAACACAAGTGTGAATGCTTTGTAGCCAAATAAATCTAGGCCAAAGTCAGGCTCAGGCTTGTAATGTAAAACACAGCTTAACTGTGCCAAGTATTATGCATGCATGACCCTCGCATTAAATTGATAGATGCATAACTAACTATAAGTCTCCATTGCAGCTTTTCTCATTTTTAAGCCATTAAAATAATCTTCATGCTCTTTGTCTATTTTGTGGGCTTTACTTCTTGATGGTTTAGACATATCATTTAGGTAAGATGTAATATCCTCCAACAATTGAGTTAATTCTGTGTAATCTTCTTCTGTCCCAGATCTTAAAAGTGATCGAGAGATAAAGCAAAAAGGTTACACTTGTTTTGTTTTATTGTTTAAATTGTTTTGTAACTAAATCAAATAAAGTAGTCCATTCCAAAAATCATTCCAATGATTCCATGCAGGCAGATATTTCTTGGAATGTTTTATTGAAATAGCAATGTAATACATATATCCTGTTGTAACCATTTGAATTCTTCAACTAAAATGGCACTTAGACTCTTAGTATATAGGTCATTGGAATTCTCATAGGTTGAGCAATTATTGGTCAATATGATATCCAAGTTATACTTTTACTATATAAGCCTCAACATCTTAGCATAAACATATTAGCCAAAAATAATACATAACATACTGATTCCTGCCACAAATTATGTGCAGAAATGATTCTGCCTCAGTTTCCTGAATGGTATTGCTGTTATAAGATAAGGACACAAATTATAGAATACAGTCTATTTTACATGGGCAATAAAAATAAAAGCTATTGCCTGAGATAAATGTCTGTCATTATAAAAGAATATACCTTTTTAAAGCATTCTTTTCGTCTGCTTTAAATTTCTTTACCAACAAGTCGAGGTGCTCTCTGCAACTTCGTCCCTTCAAGTGAACTTGGCTTTCTGTTGTTGAAAAGATAACGGATAGACTTGATGCGATAATTTCCCAATCCTCAGGCCTTACTGGTCTTTCAGCAACAACCTCTTTACACAATGCCAGATCGTGCTCAACTTTCGGCCAACGAAAAGGGGGCATCTTGAAAAACAGTCACAAAATAAAGCATTATATAAAATGAAAAACACATTACAGCATGAAGAATGCAGCTGAAGTTGCACTTGCAATACTTTTTAAGACAAAATATGGAAAACTATATAATATTTTTGATTACATTGTACAATTTTTTACACGTTTACAACAAACGTGAAATCACTCACCTTGAGGTTGAAACGCAAACGGCAAAGGCGGGAAATTCAAGGTCATGTGATCATTCCTGCCGTTTGCCGTAAAAAAATACGCGAAGCTTAACCTCCCTATTGACGGTGTGTGGGAGCAGCCAGGCGGCGACCAGAAAGTATTTAAATCGAACAATATTTTAATCAAATGGAGAAGGAGCAAGAACCTACTATATCTCGAAGGAGCAGAGGCGGATACAATTACGAAGCTTCTTTGCTCTATGCTCAGTCAAAGTTTCGCTGAAAATGTCGCTGTAAACGACTTTGAGGATGATGTGGTTGTCATAAACGACTCAACTAACTCAAGCGAAACTGATACTCAGCAAGGCCGTGTTCACAAAAGTAATGCTAACAGCTTGGATACTGAAGCGCTTATGGCCGGACAGGCTATCAATACCGAAGCCATTCGTGCATTATCTGATTCTCTGGAACTTATAACCGAAGTTCTTACAAACCTTCAAGAAAATATAGATAAAAATTAGAAAAACGATGGAAATTCGCTTAATTATATGCAAAAAGGTATTGCTACTGCAGAAGAAGAGATAAATAATGAGCAGAATACAATTGAAGTTAACGAAGTGTGTGAAGCAAGTCATCTTAATGCAAGCAGGAACATTATTCAGCAAAATAACACAGTAATCAGTCAAGCGCCTAATCATTTAGATAAATTTAAAACCCCAAACATCTGGTTCCCTGCCCTTTTGTACGTAGGAAGGGCTTTTGCCTTAAAGGCAATAATTGTGATTTCCTCCATACCCAAGGCAATGACCCTACAATCAGACGTCATCCTCAAAATACGGAAAACCATGCCTCTTCATTACATCCTCAAAAACCGAATTTTAATTGGCCCCCTTTTCCTCTCAATCTTCGTCATTCTCCCCCGTTCCAGTCAGTTTATTACCCCCTTTTCCTGCCCCCTTGTACCCACTATTATCCCCATACCAACCCCCACTTCCATACCTACTACCACCTCTGGCGTTGATCCCAATGACACCTCTAAGATGCTAAGACAAGACCCCCACCCGCTGGCTGAGAAGGTTGTTTATTACTCCTCCAAGACATTTTTAGCAGGAAATGAACTAGATGATGATGATGCACCCTCTAGTGAAATGGTGAACTCAATTCCAGTCCGAATTTCTTCGCATAGGCCCACTACAAAACCGAGATATAATGCCCAAAAATATTGTTGTAATCTAGTGCCAATCTCTTTAACGAAAAGTAACTTAGTTATGCCACCTAGTACCTACTCAGTTCCATGTCATGTGACAAACCAATGCATGTCATGTGACAAATAAAATTACAGAACTTTCTGGAATCGCTGCTGTCAATAACCCATCTCTGGTCATAATTACAGAATCCTGGCTGAACTCAAATATTCCGGATGCTGCTATAGAAATTAGTGAGAAGTTCAACGCATATCGAGGAGACCGCCCTACCCCTGGTGGCGGTGTCTTAGCCTATGTGCACCATCAAATGCCTACTACCCGTCTTACAAATCTTGAAGTGGAAGATAAAGAAGTCCTATGTCTCCTGCTTAAACCGCCTAGAACTCCCAGGCCTTATAGTGCCATAATAGTTATTAGCGTATACTACCCACCAGGTCAGACAATGGAAGATGAACGAGCAATGCTCGAGTATATCACAAATAGACTTGATGAAAGTCTGAAAGACCATCCTTCAGCAGGTATAATTATCGCCGGAGATTTCAACAAAATGAAACTGAATCTAGTATGTAGGCGCTTTAACCTTTGCAAAGCTGTACAAGCTCCTACTAGGGGCAGAAATATTTTAGATCAAATCCTTACTAATATGTCAGAATTATACAATGACATCCAACATCTCCCGCCGAATGGCCGCTCGGACCATCAGTGTCTCTTACTCACCCCAAAGCTGAAAGAAAAGCTGAAAGAAAAGGTTAAGGCGATTTCCCAAAAAGTACGCCTGACAAAATGTAGTAACTCAATCGAACTGAGTGTCCATCTGAACAGGCAAAGCTGGGAAATGGTTTATGATGCTGTTGAGATTGACGATAAAGTTTCGGCATTCACAAGTATGATCATGCGTATTTTTGATAAAACGCTGCCCAAACGTACTGTACGTTTTCATCCTTCAGATAAACCTTGGATGACCCCGCGTATAAAGCAAGAAATAAAGGCCAGACAAAAAACGTTTATGTCAGGGAACAGATCAAGATACCAATTATTATGTGACAAAGTTTCTTCACTTATATCTAGTGCTAAGAAAACATATTATCAATCGAAAGCGGAAGATACACGTGAAACAAGCCCGGCAAAGTGGTATAAAATTATATATGAACTTGTGGCTGCTAATGATTGTAACTTCCAATCTTCAGCAGCCCCCACAGATGACCTAGCTGAACGCTTACAACAAAGTTTCATCAAGCCTTGGCAGAGCACCACTCCTAATGAAAAACCAAGACTAGAGGAAATTGAACATTTACTCAAGGATACCAAGCCGCTGTTACCTTCGATTGGACAAATTAAGGCAATTCTCAAACACCTAAACCCTAAGAAAGCAAGCAGTTCGGACGACATTCCTGCATGGCTACTGAGACGTTACAGTGAAGAGCTTGCCCCTATTATTCATAATATCATCTGCTCTAGCATTTCCCAGTCTAAATACCCGACTCTCTACAAGCACGCATTGGTCACCCCTGTGCCCAAAGTATACCCCCCGAATGATATTGACAATGATTTCCGGCAAATCTCTGTATTACCACAAAGGGCAAAAATGTTGGAAACCATACAACTTAAACTGAATAAAAATGACCTTAACATCAAAGATAATCAACATGCATTTACAAAAGGAAGATCAACAGTATCTGCGTTAGCGAGTATTACCCAAAATTGGTACAATAAGACCGAAAATTCACGGGATGGAAGAATGGGAATTCATGCCTTATGTATTGACTTTCGTAAAGCTTTCAATATGGTTGACCATGGTTTGCTCCTAAGAAAATTAGCTGAAATGAATGTATCTAAATGCTTTTGGTTATGGACGAGGAGTTTTTTAGATGGAAGAAGCAAGCGAGTAAAAATAGGTGCTAGTTTATCATCTATTAGGTCCTGTCCTTCTGGAGTCCCTCAGGGCTCTGTCATCTCACCAGCAATGTTTAATGTTAACAATCCTGAAGATTGCATTCCCAACCATTTGCAGATTAATACATACAAATATGCAGATGATTGCACTCAGGATGAGGCAATCTTATATTGCTCCACTGGCAACATGCAAACGGTGTTAGATGCAACGAATGACTGGGCACTTAGAAACAAGATGGAGCTTAATATAAAAAAGACTAAAGATATGTGGATTTGTTTCAAAGAAGGAATTCCTGCACCACTTTCACTTATGATTGGTAATGATACAATTGAAAGAGTAAAAACGTTCAAGCTGCTGAGCCTTTGGTGTAACGATACCCTTAAATGGAACACACACGTTGAAGAAATTACTAAAAAGGCAAACAAACGTTTATTCCACCTTCGGGAATGCCGCCGAGCAAACCTACCGACGGAAGTAGGTTTAACTTGTTATTTCACAAAAATTAGGCCGGTTTAGGAATATGCAGCCCCAATTTGGAGTGGTTTACCAAAATATTTAATAGATGAGGTGGAGAACATTCAAACTCGAAGTCTAAAAATACTTGCTTTGCCGTCTGATCCATTTCAGTCTCTTGAACAGCGTCGTGACATGCTCGCCATACGTGAATACAAGAAAATTATAGATAATGAGACGCACCCTTGCAGGAAATACATACCAGATATTGTGATGACAACATATGATCTAAGAACTCCAAGAACTCTACCGCAGTTCTTCTCTCATACCAATAGGCATAAACTTTCGTTTATTCCAAGGACTACTGCACTATTATAGACATAATTTTAAAATCGTAAATTTATTATATTTGTATATATACATACATTTTAATCATATTTAGTAATTGTAAATCCATTGTAATTTTACACCTAAGATGGATAAATAAATTATTATTATTATTATCATAACAAGCTTGACAGCTTGATTTATTTTGTGGTTTCTGACAACAGTTTAGAGTTCACCACTGCAAATTACAGAAAAAATAAATAATCGGATGACATGTTACTTACCATAAATGATCCAAGAAACGCCCAGGACATTTAAGAGGCGTTTAATACAGAGAGGCGTTTATTTCATTTGTATCACTTCGTGTTGACAGATAATGCATGAATGGGGAAGGGATTTAGAGGAAAACATTGTTAGTCAGGGGACTAGTGAGTTCAGGCGTGGAAGAGAGCATTCTGTCTTCAATTAGTTCATGAAGTATAATCGTTTATATCAAAACGTCGTATATAACGTTGAACATTTGTTGAGGTAATCTGGGTCTGGGAGAACATTCTTATTAATTCTTTATCGATTGTTTAAAAATATACATTCGAAATACAAATCATTGTGACTTGTGATTTGTCAAGGACTACAGCTTTGGAGGCAAGCATTCTCGTCAGCGTTTCTTTAGAATTGCTTAGAGCCTTAAGGCAATTTGGTGGTGGAGGGGGCGTCTCTTAGAGACGAAGCATATTATATGGGAGGCGTTTATTTAAAAGAGGGGGTTTATTGCATCATTTACGGTAAGCGTTATAACTAAGTTGAAGAGATGTGATGCTTTGTTAGATAGGATATTTAACTAATAAAATTAGCTTTTTCACCCAGTCTTGAACAATTATTTGGACATGGCATGTTTCTCAGATGCATGTGTAATTTCACTGTCGGAGTACATAATGAAAGCAGGAGAAGATTGTGGTTTAAAAA